GTTAATTTATTGTGCATTATATTGGTAATATATCCGTAGATACACGTACCCAAGCCAATTAAAACGCTAACTGGGTTTAGTTTCTTGAATTTGTTTCTATTTCCTGGATAGTGAAAAAATAAAAATAAAAAACTTTATGGTATTTCAAATAAACGATTAACACATTCTGAAACGAATTAATCACAATGTCACTTGTAGATACGATATATAAAGGAAAAATTTTCATAGAGATAGATTGGAATAAATAAAATTCCAGCATTACTAGACTAAAGAACAAATTCTAGCATTACTAGACTAAAGAACAAATTCCTACTAGTAGGATGTGAGGGCGCGATTGAAAACTCAAACATTTCCCTAAATTTACGAACAACCAATGCTGCCAGATCTAGAGAAATGAAGTTCCCAAAAGACCCTTTTTCTCCAAATACTAGAAGGAACTGCCTTCATTGCCATTATCAGAGGCAATATCAAACAACTATTGGAAAGACCACCTTTAGTACTGGTCAAGATCAAAACTTTCATTTGGTTCTGGCAGTCCAGTAATTAAATTGAAATAAATCATCGAAAGAATTTGCTAGAATATGGCCCAAGCGAACCAACCAGTTAGCCATTTGAAAAACCTAATAATAATTTAAACAGTTGATGATTCAATCTTGGAGGTGGTTGACCAGGACACTTAATTTTTTGCCCTGTTGAATGCGTAAAATCTATACCAAAAGACATCTACAGACATATAATGTGCATCAGAATCTTTAACTCTGAAGTGTTGTCCAAAAATGAAAATTTGGTAATGAATTTGAGACAAATTTTACTTAAATTTCATCAAATATGGTAACAAGTAAAAAGAGATTCCTTTTATGAAAATCTTTTTCCTACGAAGATACCCAAGAAAGCAGCCTCAAATGCAAGTAACATGAAGGATAAATGGTTCTAATAGATAGAAAACAGCAGAAAAAATGAAATTGCTACAAAATAGTCAAAATGCTGACCCTAATACCAACATAATTGAAGTCAGGATCCAAGTGCTATATTAGGCAAACAGTGATAACTTATTGCAATTATCTTATTGAAAATCCAAACACTACTCTAGCAAAGAAATCTCAACCAATTTCTGAGATTCTACTAACATGTGTGAGGAACTATTCAATTGATGTTACCCTCAAAACCATCGATATAAATACCACTGGATTCCAGTTACTCTTCGAATGTAATACAGTAAAAACCAGCAAAAAACATATATTAAAAAAGCAAAAATGATATAGTAAAAACCACCAAAAATGATATATCTCCAATAGAATTAACTATACATTCTTATAACTCACAATCATCACTTTCTGCATCACTATGTAATAATGGTTCATCTTTGCTTCCCGTATCCTAAACCTACATGTTTAACAACTTAATCAGCATAAACTAAGTTTTCTAAATTGTGCTACTTTCTTAATGAGTAAGCAGCAACCTACCATACAAACCCAGCAGACCCAATGCGATCAATGAGTTAATAGTGATCTATCCTTTGATTTGATCTACCATTTTGCAATGCGTTGGTTATTTGACAGGTAAACCCTCATCAAAGCTTATTTAGTGTTAACAATCATGTGAATTTCCTTCCTCATAACTTCATACCAGGGATGTCTTCTTTTGATATTCCCAAACTGCCTCCACTTCCACAGCCAAAAATGATATATCTACAATAGAATTAATCAAGAAACTCAACCATTGAAAGCATAATTCATTCAAGGTCTTCGAATGCAAGTATAGATAAAGACAAAGATTTCATAACTCTGGGAAATCTTAAATGATACATATGCCAGCAAAATTGCAAGATTCCACCTCCACCTACACCTTGTAGAACCCGAACCCAATTTCTTTCCAGCTCCACCTCCACCTTGCAGACCCAATTTCTTTCCACCTTCACCTCCACCTTGTAGAGCCCATCACAGAAATAGAATTGGGGGTCATTAAAGAGGAGAAAAATTCTGGAATCCGAGTTCGCATACAATCACGTGGAATCTCAAAATCAAAAAAACAAAGACAAATTCCAAAAAACCCGTGTTCGCTTTGTAATCAGTTTAATTAAGAATTACACATATAGAAATCAAATATTGTGAGAGTAACCTGAATCTATGCAGTTACCGTCTCGTCGATTTCTTCAAACACGATCGGTCGATTTCTTCTTCGTGCTTCGGTTGAACGGATGTGAGAGACGCTGGTTGCTCGGTTGAATGGACGAGAGACGACTTGCTGGCTGAGAATCGATGTGAGAGAGAGAGGTAGCGATTTGGACGTGGGTGGGTAGAGTTGAGAGAGAGAGATTTACGTGGTTGGTTACCAACTAGAATTTTTAGAAGGGTTAAATTTCATGGAAAATAAAATCCACCTTCCCTCAAGGAAAATGTGGTCATGTGACCAAAACAAGGAAAATATTTTCCTTGAAATAAATTGTCAATCAAACAAGACAAAAGTAGGAAATTATGTGGAAAAAACACTTTTTCCATGAAAATGTGTGCAATCAAACGCCCGTTTGATTGCAAAACTGAAATTGAATTGTCTAGAAAACGAAATCTAGGAAATTGAATTGCCTAAAAATTGTTTTCCTGAGAATTGTAAATTATTGTGTTTGATTGGTATAATTTTTTACATGGAAAATGTTGGAATAAAAGATTTTTTGGTGTTCCTTTGACTTTGTTTTACATGAAATTTGTCAATTAAAGGGATATAATTTACTAGTATTGGAGATGAAATTTGTTTCCGTTGCAAAAATAATAATAATAATAATAATAATAATAATAATAATAATAATAATAATAATAATAATAATTCAAGAAATTATCTATTTTTTGGTGTTCGTTTGACTTTGTTTTATACAGAAATTGTCAATTAAAATGAAATATTTTTTTTTACAATAATTCTTTGAATTTGTTTCCATTACAAAAAAATAAAAAATAAAAAAAATAAAAATCGAAAAAAAAAATGCTACGGTAACTGAGAATTCCAATTCTCACCGTGACTTCAAGAATTTCAGATTCCAACACAAACAAAGAATTTGAATTCTAAGGAAAATAAAACCTATCAAACAACAAAAAAGGAAACGTGGAATTGGAATTCCATTTTCCATGAAATTGAAACACAATCAAACGGTGCCTAACATACATCAACTTTTTTAACCTCTTATAAGTATTCTCACTCCAAAACGACTAAAAGAGAGGTGGAAAGAAAAACTCCTACTCGTGCCCTTAATCAATATATTGATGGATACTCGCAGAAAATTGACAAAACTAATTCAATTATGTTTTCCTTAATAGTTCTCCCACTTGAATCCTTCTTCTAGGCCCCTATCTCACTTCTCCAATTTCTTTCACGTAGTTACTCCACATGAATTCACTTTGGGCCTTTAATTAAATTTAAGCCCATATCCCACGTGGCAGCTCCATCTGTTTGACTAGCATGGCCCCTTAAAATCAAATCACTAGTTGGTCCCTTAACTTTAGTAAAATTGTGAGTTAACCCCAACACTGAGCCCAAAGTGGGCTGTGACCCACCAAACAAAGTGGGTCAAACCAAATTACAAGAGGCCTAAAACAACCGTCTAAAGTCGACCGAAACTGAATCTATCGTTACTCAATAGCTAAAAAACAAGAATAAAGTCACTTAACCAGTGAAAAGATAGACTAATGTATTAAAAAATGATTGAGTGTTTTTGTTTTAATTTTTTAAATTGTTCAATCATGTGTTGACACACGTCTCATCTAAATTTGAGTCTGAATATGTAACATGATTGAAAAACAAAATGATCTCGTTTATCGAGGCTCGGGTTGATGTGGGACCCGGTAACCCGTGAATGCTGCAGTTTCCCACTCCCACCCACAACGTTCAAGATATTAATTATTTAAAGGTAAGGGAGGTGAGTACAAAGTACGGTATGTTTCCAATATAAGAAATAATGATAGCCAACCAGGCTGACACTGACCACCCATGGAACCAACGTATCTCACTAACTACTTTCAACACCCATTATTGTGAAAGAATCAGGTTTTCTCCCACTTCTTGCTTTCTTTTTTCGGATAACCAAAATTTGAATTTATCATTAATTTACTATACAAGTATTTGGATTTAAAAGAGTTAGCCCTTAGGAATGATAACGCGACGGCAATCCAATTTTCATCCCTACTCCTTCGAGGATTTTCTCGTTTCATTGTCATTTTATCCTCGCTTAAGCAAGAACTGGCTTAATCCCTATTTAACCCTCGTTTATTTATTTTATGTATGAATAGGATGCATTTAATATAAATATAATGCACTCTTTGAATTTTCTTTTGTTATGTTTTTATTTTTTAGAAGACCTTAAATGGGATGGAGATCGCGACAGGATCATGATCACTGTCTCAAACCCTCCTCGATTCGAGTGGATTTCTTAGCTTCGTTCCCGGATAAGTTGAGGATTCCTTGTTCCATTGTCATCCAAGGTTAAAATGAAAATAAAATCCCTCTTTGTCATTTTTATTATTTAGAAGGTCTTCATTTGATTATTGTGTTGGTCAAGTGTTGATTATATTAGTTCAAATATCTCTATTGTCAAAAAAATTCAATTTTGCACTTCGTCATATTTATTGCTAGATAATTTATGAAAGTGTGTTGTATAGATTTCTTTTATTATTATTATTATTATTATTATTATTATTATTATTATTATTATTATTATTATTATTATTATTATTTTCAAATCGCCTTGCTTTGAGATTCAAATTTTAATTTTTTTAAAAGGTTAATTGATGATTAATTTTTATGAGAAAGTGAAAATCATCTAATTTGGGATTTTTTTTTCTAATGTCAAATTACTATGAAACTTCTTTTGTTTGAGTGAATGACAACTTCATATTGACATGATAACTTGACCTAATTTGAGTAGGTGAAAATACATTTAGATTTATCGGTAACGTTATACATGTGAGTAAAAATTGAGAGAAAAAATGGGACCATTGTCGATGATTGGAAAAAAGTCAAATGAGTAGTTTACAATTGAGCTTATACCTAAATTTTTAAACTTGGGTGCCATCTAAAAAGCTTAGCACATTGCGTGAAGTAGATTAATTTCTTACAATTTTCTTCATGTTTAAGTTCATGTACGACTTTTATTAGCAAATCTTCAAATCCCGATGAAAATTTCAACATTTAAGAAGATCTATTTATTGCTTATCCATCATTCTTGTAATTTCAAGTTGATATTTGATGTCTACTTGACTGTCCGTCCAATAATTTTTTAACACTTCAACATATCATATCTTTTTATCAAATTCGAAGATATTAACAAAGTAGAATACAAACAACATTAACTTTGAAATGTCAACTTCCTATTCAATAAAGATAGATGATGTTTCAAGATGTAAAAAAAAAAAAAAAAAAAAAAAAAAAAAAAAAAAAAAAAAAAAAAAAAAAAAAAAAAAAAAAAAAAAAAAAAAAAAAAAAAAAAAAAAAAAAAAAAAAAAAAAAAAATTAATAAAACCACCATTGAGATAGATAAACGAGGACAATTAGGGTTTGAGCCCCATTTTTTAAAATAATATGTTCGCTATAGTGATTTTTTGGAGAATATGTAATTAAAAAGTATGAAAAAGATTAAATTTATGAATAAAATTATTTTATTGAAAGAATGTCGGGTTGAAAATTAATGTAAAGAGAAATGAATTTTTACAAAATAATGTTGAAACGGGAGCTCAGTGATGTCAACGTCCATTTCTATTTCTGGATTATTATATATGTACCATTAGTTTTTCACTCGGTGGCCTCATTCATTTTCAGTCAATTTATGGGATACCCACTCCACATTTTTATTGGGAATCTCATTCATCTGCTCAACAGAGAAAATCAATCTTTGAATCTGTGAGACTCACTCTTCACTGATCAACATATATAAATTTAAAGATTCTGTCAATATGGGCTGAGAAATGAATAATTATAATTAAATGCTTTGAATTAAATTACTCTGTTAGAATAATTCAATACAATGAGGGATTTCACATTTGTGATGAGACCCATTACCAACTTTATTTTTTTTGCCTTTAATTACTTTTTTTGCTCATCAGATTTTTGGTGGTGGGTAAACAAAAGTTGCAGTCGATGGAAGCAATAATGGAGTACAGAAAAAGAAAGATGAATGAATAATTTCCCCAAATGGTGTTGGTATTGGCATTGGGGAACCCACCCACCCACGCTACCTGCCACTATTCATTTCTTCCTTTGCCTTTTATCTACTCATCTATCTGCCTTAGGAAATAGGAATCTTCTTCCCACATAGCCATTGGAATTGAATTGCTAGATAGTAGATGCAAGGATTTGGGATTATGATATTTAACAACTTTTGTGAAAGTCTCACTCTATTCATATAGTATGAGTAGAATACGTAAATTCATTTAATTGTATGTTTACACGAAGTTTTTCTGTAAATATAACGAATCTGTATCCTTGATGACTTCTTTTTTTAACTTGCTTTATTAAAATCGGATCACTATTAGTTATATTTTTGGTTTGAATAATGTTATGCAACCCCACTGATATTATAACTCCAATCTAGACGGAATGAAAGATGAAATTAAATGATTTATTTAATTTCATCTATTATTTAATATTTCATTAACGTCATCTAAATTGAGATCGTAACTATATTGAAATTAAATAGCATTGATAACATAGCCATGAGGGTTAAGAATAATAAAAAATAAATACCAATTTGATGCAATTAAATATATGTATAGAGCCTTTGTCCTTTGCAAGCTTTGTGTCGTTGGCATTATGATGATAAAACCAAAGTGTGACAGCGCAATTCATGGGGCGTGAACAAGGTTGCAGCAATCCAACAACAACTGCCTCACTGCATAATTCAACATACTTTTCAGATGTCAATGAATACCAACAAAGAAGTTATAGATATATGCTCTATAGATATATAGACATATTCTTATTTGAAAATTACTTTTTAAATTTTTTTTTCGAAATATATATATTTTTAATAAAATAATTTTGCATATAAATTCATAACTTCCCTTGCTTTTAACAATGCTTTCGCCCGAGAATTAATTTCACGTAAAATAATTAGTCAGAAAAAATTACTAAAGGGTTGTCTGACAAAGCTTTTAAAAATGTTTTAGTAGATTTTGATAAAATGTGTGATTGAAAAATTATTTAAAATTGTTAATTCCATTAAATATGCATTTAAAATTATCATTGATCTTCATCTCAACTTTTTAATAATTCTTTTAACTTTTCCTAGCAAGTACTATATGCTTTTCTTTGGGGTGAATTAGTTGGTGGTATCATGACATTTAATAACCATGCCAGAGAGAAGCTTGGAGCATATGCAAAAGCAAGCAATATTTCACTTGACAAAAGTTAGAATGATGGATTCTTATAGATTAATCAAATAATTGTTATATAGAATAAATGGTAGCGTGCATTAAAAGGTAATTGGAGTTGAACATTGATTTTCTTAAAAATTGTCAAAAACAAATAATGAGAGGAATAAATTCTTGTAACATACATCGAGAGAAATATGTGATCCTTTTTCTCCTAAAAGTATAAATGGAATAACTTTGCCAAATGCATTCCTTTTGGAGAATGGTACCTCAATCAAGCTAAACTCTTAAAGGACATATTTATCTATATTTATATATAAAAATTCGTAATTTTAACGTTTTTGAAAGTCAAAAATTGTGTTTTAAATTTAAAAGTTACTTTTATTTTATACATGCAAAAGCTCAATAAGATAATTTTCTTCGGTTCTTGGTCTGGAACCGAGAATTGAATCGTACCCGTCGGTTCTCAATTCAGACACCCGTTCGGGTATTTAATTTGACAAGAATCGTCGGGTTCGATTCAGGTTCGATTTGATCGATTTGGTTCTGGAGATTTGCCCAGTCCTAGAAGTGCCACTCTCCCAAAGAAAGGCAGTTGGCGAAGTGATTCCATTTTTAACCTTTAGAAGTTACAAGAATTAGTTCATTTCATTAAAATGAATGAAAGCAATGTGCGAAGAAATGACTACTCAACCATGAAACTTGTGTAAAAAAGATAAGAGAGGCATGAAAGAGTAAGAAACGGGCAAATACGCCTTTCATGCCTGTTAAGGGATTTTTTTTTTTTAATAAAATTGTCATCAAGGATATATATATATATATATATATATAATTTATTGAAAACTAAAAAATTGAGGGTGAATATAACTTCTCCAACGCCATCACTCCAACAAACAAAACAAAACAAAACAAACAAACAAACAAATCTCTCTCGCTCTTTCTAATAGCCATTTAAATACTAAAATAAACATCTTTTCACCAACTTTTTTCTCTCTCTATCGTTAAAAGCCAAACCAAACCCTTAATAAACCCCACCCATTTTGGCCTGCATTTTCTCATTCATGAATGCCATTTTCCTCTCTTCAATTCATTGTTCTTTCCACCACCAAGCCAAAGATTTCAAAGATAAGCACGCAATTACATCATATACACATATATAAAGACAGATACAGATACATCAGACATATAGGAACATCTCCTTAGTGACCAAGAATTCACCATATATATTGATGGCTGTTGAAGCTCGGCATCTCACTCTTTTTCCTCCACAGATTCTTAGCAATAGGTAAATACTGTCACTTTATTCATATCTTTTTCCTGTTTTCATTTTCTTTCTTGATGTATTATTTATGCTTTTGATTGAATCCAGAGAAATGGCGATGAATGCTATTGAAGGCAACGGAAATATGTACAGTACTCCGTTGGCATACGGAGCGGTTGCTACGACGACGGCGACGCATACTGTGCTTCCTATGTATGGTTCAGCGATTAGCGATTCGGCTCCGGCGAAGACTGGTACAATGAAATCGGACAGTGGTCTCACGTATGCCGTTCCTATTTCTAGAAAGCGTTCAAGAGATGCAATCAATCCTCTGCTTTCATCGTACCCTAGCGTTTCACAGAATCAAAATGCAAATCACTGTTGCGGTTCCATCACTTTTCTCGGCGAAGATATCTCCTTTCAGATTCAACAACAGCAATCAGAAATCGATCGCTTCATTACTCAACACGTAAGATTATATCCCGTCGTTCATATTCACTTTCGTTTTTAATTTGTTTGGTTGGTTAACTTAAAATATTGGTTTCTATCAGATGGATAAAGTGAGGATGGAAATTGAAGGTACGCGAGCGAGATATTCTCAGAGTTTAGCGACGGCAGTTGAAGAAAACATAATGAAAAAACTGAAAGCCAAAGAGGAAGAAGTTGAGAAGATTGTGAAATTAAATTGGGCGTTAGAAGAGCGAGTGAAGTCTCTATGCGTGGAAAATCAGATATGGCGAGATTTAGCTCAAACAAATGAAGCCACAGCGAAGACCTTGAGATGCCATCTCGAAAAAGTCCTCACTCAAGTCAAGGACGAGCAGCAACAGCGCCACTGCGGCGACGATGCCGCCGCTGCGTTGATCGACGACGCACAGTCATGCTGCGGCAGCAACTTCGACGAAATCGATCGGCTCGTATTGCCGGAATGCTCCTCTCGTGAATTTGTCAACAATTCCAATGGTGGTGGTGGTGCGTGTACGAAGAGTGTGCACAACACTGTAGTGAGTAACAAGAACAGGATGTGCAGGCGGTGTGGGAAAGAGGAATCATGTGTGTTGCTTTTGCCGTGCAGGCATCTCTGTCTCTGCACTCTGTGCGGGTCGTCCCTCCATACTTGCCCCATCTGTAACTCCACCAAAACCGCTAGTGTTCACGTTAAGCTTTCCTGAAATTCAGATGCTCTTTTCGGCAATTTCAATAAAAATCGCAAAAAGTTATCACCTATCCAGTAACGTCTCTTAACAGATTTAGACTATTAGTTCAAATCTTTATCTTCTTTCATTTAATTCATCTCTGTAATTAATCTTAACCTTCAACGTGTTCGATCATTTTCCCTTGTGTTCTTAACTGTTGATTTTTGTGTTGAATTTTGGCGGGTACGTAAGTTAGCACATAGCGGCGCATTTTAGCAGAATATGTTTTGGGTAGACCCACATGAGGTTATGGAGGAGCGTGTTTGATAGACGCGTAGGGTTCTGTGAAGTCAACTTTGGGGACGAAAGTGAAAAACGTGAGTGTAAAGGCAAACACGTGGACGTCCGCGCTGTTGTCGCGTTTTAATGGGGAAATTGAAAATGAAAGGTAATGGAAATTGTAAACCGCACATATGCGCACAGTAGAGAATAAAGAGAGAATCAAAGATATTTGGAGTGTCCTGCCAAATTTATGAATGGACAAGTGATAATATTTGTATATAAAATATGTATTGTGCAGTTGGAAATAAGTTTATTAAATTTATAAATAATTTACAAAATTTACCAAAGAATGGTTAATCACTTAAAAGAGGGCAGAAGTGTAATACACGACACTATTTAGTCAAGTATTTTTTATCATCATTATTTTAAAATTCTTTATTCTACGTATTTATTTTCAAACTCACATTCAAACAGTAAAATATTTTGTACGTAAATCTAAAACGTATTGACCATCAGCCAAGGGCTTAATGTTTAGTTTATGAAAAGAGAGTTATCGAAGGAATTATCTTAGATGTACATTATTGTTTGCATTAGGGATGACATTTTCATATATGTGCCAAAATTTGTAGAAAAACTTTGGTGGGGCAACCGCACCATCCTATATGATGTGATTGCCAAGTGGGGAGTCAGCTCCTCATTGGGCAGCTCCCATTACTCAATGAGGTAATCCCACTTTGGGACTTGATTTTTTTTCTTTTTTCATCTCGACTCTTGAGGTGGCCTCACTTATTGGGTGAGAGTGGGCTTCTCGATGAGATTATGGCTTCTTATTCAACATTTGCACCATATAGGACGGTACAATTGTTCAAACCCAAATTTTTCTTCAAAATTTGGCCAAATGAAAGAGTGTTAAAAAAATCAAATGCTATGATGGGTGTCATGTAGAAGAACATTAAAATTAACACAAACAGAAATGTACATATTTATTATCAAAGCTAAGAAACGTAAAGCATTGAATAATTCATTGATTGATGCTGAAAAAAAATGTATTTATCTGCTGTATCTATAACCGACGGCGGCGGATGGGTAGGCGTTGGTGGGGTGGGGGGGTGGCCTTTTAATGCTTGCGCGTAATGTTCACGTCGTTGAGGGGGTGGGTGGGGTCAGTGTCTCTATCTATGGTCTTTGTCGAGAGAGCACGACATAGTACCAAGATTAGATGCTTATAATAATGGTGTTGTGATGATGTTTGTTGGCAACATGTTTTATTACTAATTTTATAATAGGGGTGATGCTAATTAGGGTTAGGGCAGGCCACTTGTTTAGATTTGGAGTTGAATATTAGGCCATTAAATTATTTGGTGGTGCGCGTTGTGTCCCCCATTTGAATTGATTGATGGTCTGTGGATTGGCATTTGGCACTGGCGAAGTCATTTTCACTGCCACAAATTTCTTCCCTTTTCATTTGATTTTACTTGCACTTCAACAATATACTCATTTTTTCTTTTCTACTTTTTCACCGTAAATAAAAGCTGATTCAACCTTTTATAAATAATTTATGCGCTTGTATGTTAAGAATTTTGATAATTAATTTTTTAATTATTAGGAAAAAAGTGAATCCTATTTATAAAAGAAGAATTCAAAAATAACAGTTAGAATAATAAAATAATGATCAAAAAATTAATTTTAATTGACTTAAAATCTATATCAAACAAGCACTATAAATAAACACAAAATAAGGGCTTAGTTGTTTAACTAATGTCTGGTTAATGTTTATACACCATTTATAAATGTATCGATGGATTATTTTTTATCCACATACTGAGAGACATCTCCTATTTTTTTTTTTCGAAAAATCTAAAAGAATTTGAACTAAGATTTCAATTTATCTCTAACCATCAAATGAAATGCGAATAACTCGTTATCCTCTCTTTGAAAGAAGGGATGCTTCTAGCTCCCTTTTTTGATCGAAGATGTATTCTCTTTATTGATTATCATTGTACATGCTCATCCACAATTATTTTTATCTTCAAAATTTAAATCGAGACCACTCCTAGAAATGCTTATCAATATTAATAATGATCGGACAAGAGTGACAGTATAAAAATTTATGTAACTTGAAAGCAAAACTTGGTCAAATTGTTGGAAGAGGTAAAATGTTACAACATCAATCAATCAATTTTGTGTCCTAAAATAATAGTAATAATAGAGAGAGATGAGTGCAGAGAAGAAAATGAGAAGTGAGTCACGGAATGGAGAAGGAAAGGTGGCATCTTCATTAAACGTTTTCGTTGGTCTATGGACATACCATGTTTCGAGTCTGAAATCTCAAATGGGATGCATGTACCTTAAAAGAATCTTCACAAGGAAATTTTTTTTTGAATTTTTGAATTTTTTTGAAAAGAAGAATATCAGAAAGTTGTCTCTCTAGAACTTATCTACAATTATTATAAAGAATAAAAAAAATTAAAATTTTGTCGAGATTTGGATGGGTCATCGTAACTTGTTTGTTTGGTATAATCAAAATGACAACAAGTGTTGGAAATTAAGTTGTAGGGTCTTTGTTGAGCGTAACTTATGGCTTGAAAACAAGTTTGATTAAATTGGATGGCTAACAAAAATCAATTTGGATTAGTCAGTCAATTATTAAAAATTTGACAGGTCATTTATCCGACTGACTCTCCACCCATTTTATATATAATATTGGGGGGTGGGGAGGGGGGGTCTCCAAATTCATCATTTTTAAATTTTAATTGTCCAGTGGGACCGGTGCACAAAAGCCAAAGTTAGATTAATTAGGAGGTGACACGAAAATAATTGAGAAAGAGAGATTTTAGTTCGAGAGGGGCCCACTGTATCAGGACCGTCTGTCGCTTTATGACCGGCATGCATTCCCTGATTCGCCCTTTCATTTGTTTACTGTTATTAAGGTTTAATTAAAATCATGAAGTATTTAACGTGTGTTTTTGCTTTTTAATTATCTTTAACTTTATCATTTCTCCCGTGCTGAACAAATCCTGAATTTTGCTCCCACGGAAATGTGACCGCCGGGTTATTTGTTTAGCGGTAAAACTCGCTATTAATAATTGCATAATGCTGAACGAATAGGAAAAATACACATACTGATATGATAGCCCATGATTGAATATTTTTATGTTTTTTTTTGCAATTTTTAATGAGAATTTGCTAAATGTTGTCTGAAAATGAAATTATGTCACTAACTTTGGCAATGTAGCATGATTGTTGATGATTACATTGTTATGCTTAGGTTGTGATAAATTCTCGACTATATTTTAATATATTAAGCTCTTGTTTGGTTTAAATAAAAATCAATTTTTTAGCATATTTTCATAAAAGTCGATGAAATATTTAAGCGTGAAGTTGTGATTCTTATTAAACGTGTAGTTACAATTAAGCTATCGTTCATCTAAAAAGTTAAATTAAAATAGAAGTTCAAATCAACAATTACTTTTAACTACACATTTTTATAAAATCTACAATTTTTGAGCCATACATTCCATCATTTCTTTATAAAATTGATTTTTATCTCACACGTTTCATGAAATCTCAATATTTATCGAACTCTTGAAGTGCACATTTTATCATTTTTTTTAATCAAGTTTTGCTAAAAATTGAATTTTTATTCAAATCAAATAAGGGTTAAATATGTTAATATTCAAAAATCGTGTATTGTTATATGCTGTTTATAGTTAACATAATTTAAGAATCGTGCACGTGACATTTGTTATTCATTAGACGTTAAACTTGTATAAAAGTGAAAATAATGGAGTGGAATTATGAACTAAATAACTTATATAACAATTAAACAAAAATATTATTGAACTCTGCCAGCATTTGGAATCATTCATTTATTTCATTTTCACCGAGCTCCGGCTAATCTTTTATATTATATGCTCTCCCACACGTATATAAAACAACAAAAAATGAAAGTGGACATATAAATTATTGTTATTATCTAAACAAATTCAAATTAGTATTTAGATTAGATTTGACTTTCATTATTTAATGTCGTTCATGTCCTAAATTAATTGTGGATATTGACGTAATTGCACACTCGTGACGATGAGACCCACATGGTACAGCCCATCATATGTATTCGATAGTGACCATGTAAGATTAATAATGCATGATTTATTAATTTAATTGCAAGATTTGTTCTTAAATTTGGTTTTTCATAGTTGAATGAGTTTGTCTAGAAGGATTTAAGAACAAGAGAAAATAATTGTCAAACTGGCACACATCAAAGGGCCGTCCAGCTATTCGTTTTGTTGTATTGGAATCTCCATTTGCACGACCTGTCAACTCTAAATTTAATCAAATTATACCGACTCTCAATTAAAAGTACTATATAGTGCTTGTTTAGCAAGATTTTTTTAAAAATAAAAGTTGCTTTTAAACATGTTTGAATTATAATATGGAAGTTCTTTATCTGATTAGAAGAGATTTTGGAAGAGCTGACCTAAAAAAACTTTCTCAAGAAGCTCTTACAAGAAGTAGAATCTGTTAAACGGTTCCATAGACTTTGAACTACCAAAGAACAAAATGACATTTTCTTTCCTATCGACTAAATTACACAAAAACTTGAGTTACTACTAAAATTGAATTCATAATCACCGTATTAAACACGTAGTCGCAGTTAAAGTTAAATGGACGGTGACACCGGACCCAATGGCATAATTTTTGGAGAAGGCACAAATCAAGTATCTAGGCCCATTCCATGCTTGGTGTTGCGCCTTTCACTTTCTTTTGTACTTTTCACACAAAGGAGGCAGAGACAT